GCATTTTCAGAGAATTCAATTTGAAATCATGTAAAAACCAACCCTAATTCCTTTATTCAATTCAATATCATTTTAAAGAAGAGGTCATGAAGATACATGTATGAAAAACCGTTTTCTGAGAGACTGTAGGCAATACTGATACATTTTCTTTGTCTGAGTGGGAGAAAACTCCTATGTTTATACCTGATTTTCTTCATTTTTCATTGAAAAGTGCAGTTTCAAATATTTTTTATTGAGTTTACCTATTAATTATGTCCCGATACACCCTAGGTTTTTAAGCTATAATTATAAAAGTTTATTAAAGGAATTTGTTTCTCGAATTTGAGAAATCTGTAGGCATTTTTCTTTTACTAGATCTTGATTTTAACTATTTGTTTTTCATCATTATAAAAAACCTTCCTTTCTTATTTGCACGGGATTTGGGAAGCACTTGTGCTTGGTATACAATATCTCGTAACTAACATTTTTACAAATATAATTTTGCAAAAAAGTATTAAATTGTGATTTTCCATAAATTTAATGTTGCTTACAAATAATCTAATGTTGTATCTAGGGTTTCATCTGAGTATTTTGTTCCCTCTTTAAGTAAACCAAATATCAATAGTGAAGACATTTTCATGGCAAAATTCCTGGTTTAAAATTTTTGTTTATTCCTATCCTAATTGCTTCAGTTTAATAGAAAACAATATTAAAATTCAGACCAGAGTAGCTTGAAAATTTTTGAATGATTGATTTTGTAATTCTTGATTTTTTTCGTCAATTAAAATCATGCTAATTGGCTCAGTCTCAGCTATTTTTCTTCCACATAAATTGTTGTTATCAGAAGTCCTCTTAAAACATCAAAGATGCCATGTAAGAGTAAGCATCCCCTGTCGACCGGTCACACCCGCCGTGTGTTCTTTGTCATGATCAGCCAAACGGAAAAATCTATAGACAATTCGGTGTGAAAATAATTTCCTAAAAATTTGTATCAAAAACGTCAGTGACTTAATGAAAAATTGTTTTTGCTGACAAGATCATTGTATCGACCATAGAATTTGCGATCGCGAAATGTTGACTTTAAATGAGAATATTGATATCCTTTTTCATCAATTCATTTGTCAATAGCTTGCCTCGTTTTAGAAATTGTTAATAAGTAGAACATGCTCTATCGAATCATCTGGGAGACATAAACTCCATATGCACGATGGTATATTGCTACATTAATAAGGGAAAGTTAGCAATACAAATGTTGGTTAATTATCACGTTTATCATAAGGTTTTGTTGTTAGGTTACATATCATTAGTGTCTTTTTCTAGTAAAATATCCAGCTGAATATATCTGTGTATAGAATCTAAATTTTTTATAGAATCAAAGATTTTTAAGGTCTATTAATAAAACACCATTCTGCAGTGTCATTTGTGCCATGCTTTTTACTAAATCGGTCAGGAGTCCAGGGCCCCGTTTTACTAAAGAACTTACAACTAAAATAAAAATGATATTATGCAAATAACTTCCCTTTTTGCATTACTTTGAAAATGGTTTTAATCTTTTTGAAAAGAAAGTAGAAAGATATTTTTATGCAAACAATTTTTAACAGAAACATTAGTTTTGTAAGATTTTACAATCAACTTAAGTTTTTAGTCTTAGTCGTAAGTTCTTTTGTAAAACGGGCCCCAGGGGTGCTAATGCTGTCAGTATGGACTATAAGATATGTTATTGCTTTGATACGTTCCAATATAAATTTATTTTCTAAATATTCAGTTTGGTCAGCGTGCCTCTAGCAAAGAAGATAAAATGTGTTTTTTTTAATTTTTGTTAATACTTTTAATATCATTCTAAATTCATTTAAGAAGAGAAATATTTTTTTCAGCAAAGTCCTATTTTCATCTAATTTAGAAACCTTAGCTATTAATCATTTTTTGGTCAACTGGGACATAGGTTATTACATTTTTTTGATACATTAGTGCAGTGTTATAACACAGGGTAAAAAGAGGTAATTGTTCAAAATATTTCTATTCATTATCTTCTTAATTTTTGATAAACCATAAATTATTTTATTTTATTTTATTTATTTATTTATTTAATTCTAGAATTTATCAAATTAATTTTTTTTTTACTAAAATGGAATTATCTAAAGAAAACAGAACTTTCTGTTAATATTATATCTACAGTGGCATCGCTGCAATATATCATGTATAATTTTCTTTTCCTGTCTTAAAGTGTAATGTCCGGCTTTTTATTCCTATGAAGCAGAATTTATTCAAAAACTTCTACATGAAAGGAAGAAAACACTTTCTGTGGTCTTCTATTAGACATTCAGAGACATCGACGACGTTTAATCAATTAACAATAGTTATATGTACTTCCATTCACATGTCGACTCGATATATCCCAAAGAACTGGAAATATAAGACACCACAGAGTCTGCCACATCTGTTTCATATTTTGCATGTTTTAATGACTATAGACGATAAAGGCCAACTAACAACTAAATTGTATGACAAAAAACTTCTATTGTCATGTTTCCTTATCTCTGTTGCATATGGTGTTAATGTTTCCCAGCATACTCTATATTCAAGAGCATGCTCCGAGTACGATCAATTTTTAAACCTAGGAAAGCTACTGAAAAGATAAGTTAGTTTGACAGGGATTTCAACAACCTTGTTTAAAGTCAGCATTTCGTAAATGCTATGGTCGGTATAGTAACCTTTTGCAACTATAACCTATCATTGGGTCGTATTTTGACTGACATATTTTATGATAATTGGTATGCCTTTATTTTTATACAAAATTTGACAACGGGATATTCCGTTGACCTGATCAATATATAGAGGCCACGGCGGGTGTGACCGGTCAACAGGGGATGTTAGCTCTTCTTAGGCACGTGATTCCACCGGGGTTCAGTGATTTATGCCCTGTTCACGAATTTGTATTGTTTATAGGGTTTTCTTTTTCTTTTTTTTTTTAAATCGATCACTTTTCGTTATCTTCAACTTTTTCATTATTCTGGACCGAAATAAAATTATTACATTAACCTTATTACATTTAATTTCTTATCGATTTCAACGCATAAAGTAATAATGGGGATATTAGAAATCTCATGCCAAAATTCTGTTTCATTTTGTGCTGTTACTTCAGTTTGCATTTTTAAAACATTATCTAATGTAATACATATCCAAAAGGAAACATTTTTAACTGAAACCATATTTGCATTTTTGTAGAACAACTTCTTACTGTATATCTAATTGACTCCGACCTTTGAACATATGATGGCAAATTCTTGCGACTAACTTAGAAATCTATAGATATAGAACATCGTTCAGGTCAGGGTCTAATTGTGGTATGTCATTTGGTACAACATATCGATATGTTGACTAATTAAGGCACTTATCGTGTCCGGATTAATGTTTACACGGTCTGGGACTGTCTAAGACCTAGTTTTACAACTCGACTATTCCTTTTGGTCAACAAATTTATCACTAGAGGTCATGGACAAATATGAATCCTTTCAGAAGCAGTTGCTTCACACAATGATATACGTTAAAATTTATCATTTTTATAAACAAAAATTAAATAACTTAGGCCGGTCATTTCCAAATAATTTGCAAAAACCTTCTCGCTAGATTCTTTAGAATGTAGGAAAATGTGCATAATAAAAATATAGAGTCAATGATACAGTGAAGAGAATGTGTAAGTCCAGATGTTAAACTTTTATAACATTACTTGCTTCAGACAACACCTATGACAGTAAACAGAAAAGTAATTTTTTTTCTTATATTTTAGGGATTTTTTATAAATTGAATATCGTTTTTATAATTTTAAAATTATTCATTGAAGAAATAAGACTGGAAGCAGACGTTCACCTTGTCGTATACCAATGGTGCTGTTAAAGCATGTGAGCACAATTGTCTTCCCACAATTTTTTATTAAAGTAGAAAATTTACAAATTTTCCATTTTAATAAAAATTTGTGGAAAGACACAAGCATTACTACTAGTTTTTAATATAATCGATTCTACAAGATACAAAATGCATTTAAAAGCTATGTTTTGCCAATTTATCACTTGAATTTCTATTTCAGCTTTGTATTTAAACAATTCATATCTTCCGTGAAAGAAAATAAATTACTAGTAACTGGACCGATTTGTCGGTGAAATATGAGTAAAATGTGGCCAATATCTTTGTTGAGTAAAAAATCCATTGTACTAAATGAAATGTATGGAGATAACGAACAGTATTCAAGCTCAAAAGTCCATTAAACAATACAAATTTTGGAGCAGAGCAAACACGGACCTCCAAATATTTCATTATATATCTTCGATAACAAATACTAGCAATTAATATTTCCATTTAACGTTTATTTGTCCTGAATTTTACTTCATAATTAAAGGACTTAAAATGTGTAATAAAAATGCTGTGATTTAAAGTTACAAAATCTGCAATGTACCGTTAGAAAATTATTCAAGAACTGTAAATACCTCTCACTGATGCTTGTTAGGTATTTATTGCATATAGTATTCTTGTAACATTCAACATATTAAGTACCTTTCTTGACAGTTTGACAAAGAATAGTATATCATATTACATCACCCAGACGCGACATAGACACTTGTTTAAGTTTTGACAATCGTCAACTTTCTATATTACCCCTTCTCTGATGAAAGATTTTTTCAATTTTCTTTTTATCTTAAATAATAAATTAAAGGGTATTATCTTAAAATAAATATTATATTTATATTCCATTTTTAGAAAAATTATGCAATCGGAGATTAAATTTTTTTCATGAAACCCTTTTTTTTTCCTTCATGAAGTGTCATTTTTGAGACACATAAAGTGACCGCCTTAGGGAAAGAAGATTGCATGATTTTTTTTGTATTGTATGTAACTCGACTAATGTGTCTTCGGTTAGACCCATCAATAATGAATATAACAAGTCATGCATTGTTTCTTATTCTAAACGTCGGAGTGGCCACTGCTTTATAACCAGCGTTCACCTCCGGAGGATCATCAGTGTTGCATTGGACGTCTCACTAGCAGGTGTTGTAGGAACAAGACAAGGAGTTATTTTATATCCGTGTCTATTTACACTAAACAGGTTTGTGTTAATTTTCAACCTTAGTTAATCCATGGATTACTTCTGAAATGGAAATTTGTTACACTTTTTTTTTAATTATTACTGTACCAATGTCAAACAGGAAATTATTTTAAGTGTTATATATTTTAAATTTATCTGGAATATTTCTCTTCAGAATCAAATTTTATTTTGTCGGATTCTTATACTTAAGCACATTTTCATCTGTTTTCATTGTTTTGTAGTCTTTTTTTAATCTTCATTTATTTTTTTTAAGTTTAGCAGATATTAGCAGACTATTAGATTTGTCAAAATTCTATATCAATTGACGTCTATAGTTTTTGTTGTGGTCAGATATTAAACCTGAAACTCGTTTAAGTTTTATTATGTTTATTTCTAGAAATGAATCAATTTCATAAAATACCTTATTTTATTACATTCATTTGAAGTTTAGTTCTTAAAAGTTTATGTTCTACATATACTCTTACTTTTACTTTCACATTTAGTTCGTTCACTTAATTGAAACTAGAGATAGCTAAACAAAATTGATTAATTTACGTTCGATCCATACGCATCTTAAGTTGCATTTTTGAAAAAAAAAAAAAAAGAAAGAAAAAAGAAAAACATTTTATATGAGTAAAGGAAAATAACGAAAAACCCTTCATAACTAATATAACTATATCCACCTCGGCTAGGTGATACTCGAAGTAAATATTAATCAACTTAATTATATGCCGGAACGTGTCGACTAACTCTTCATTTATTATATGCTGGCCTTTTATCTTGTTGACAATGTATTTATTAATGCATTAATTTTCCCCATTAGTTTTCTTTTGTGAAGTACAAGCATATTAATCGCAAAGCGTCTTCTCTCTTTACTTTGTTTTTAGAGATATTTGTCATTAAGGACATCTTGGACATATTAAAAATTATGTTTTTAGGCTTGTATAACACGCTTTATTAATGCAGGTTTCAGTTCATTGTTTGCACTAGTTTTTATTCGTTTTGCTCGATAAATCGTCCGTTTTGGACTTCAGAAGAATTGCTCTATATTTTCTGATTTGTGTACTCTTTATTTCAGAAGTCATAATGAAGTCCTGTTTGGCTATCGCATTTGTTGTCTCTTTGGCTGTTATGCAGGTTACATCACAAGGTAGGTTTGCTGTTTTTAATCTGGTGAATGCATTATCAATTTCTAAATGCTTGCATGAATACATGACGAAAGAAATATGAGTAGACTATTTTTTTTAATTTTCCGTCCTTCCTTGTAAAAACCTTTTTACTTATGTTCTTTCGTCATTTTAGAAAGAAAATAATCGGTGAAGGGGATTTCCCTATCTAACATACTTTACACACACTGTGCTATATGCATTGTTTTTAAGAAGCTAAATGAATGCGAAAATGAATTTTTAATACAATGCTTGATAAACATAACTCCAGCTTTGCGTGGGCGCAGCGATTGTGAAGTTTTCTTCACTTTGTTCTATGGGTTTTAGCTTACCGCAAAGGTATAATATTTTCCCTACCTGCCTTGCAGTTATATCGCAATGCTTTAATTGGGGATTTATTTCAGCTTCTTGCTTAAATTACGCAGATAAATACGTAATATGTCGTAACGGCCAACCGAATGAGTAAAACAATCAAATTAACCCCTGAAGGAAAATATCATTTGATGGCTGTCCGGAACCTTTGTTTATTGTGAACAATGTTAGCTTCTTCGGGTCATAAAACGTCAACCGAGTCCGGCTCTGAGTGTCAGTTAATGTTTTTGACTGTCCTCGTCAATCTTGGACCATGGCGAGATCTTCTAGGGCCGGGATTTATGGCCCCCATACAGCGCACTGATGGCATAAAACCATAGTTAATCAATCTCATGTCACTTTGAGTGATAGTCGAATCATTTTGGTCCTTCCTTTTTATATATTTTTTTTTCTTATTTTTAGGTCATCATTTTTTTTCTTTGTGATAATTTTTTGGAGACACCGAATAAATTACTTTTTTTTTAAAACAAATTCCAAAGGATTCAAAATGTCTTTCTACAAAATCAAATGCAAATCAATATGTAATATTCAATGCAAAGAAATTTATTTAATTTCATGGAAACGTGCTCTTTTTGACGGATGAAGACTTTCGTTTTTATCGGAGTCGTTGGCTGCTGAATTCAGTTGCTTTGCTGAAAGAATGTATGAGCTTTTTTAAGTATACCACCGCTTTGCTGCCTTATTTTTATATGCAAAAGGCTAGGCATTCTGCTATAATAAAAATCATTTAAAACAATTCATAATATTTTGGAAAAGAAATACAATTTTTAATTTTTTGCAATTAATAGAATTATTCAATTTAAAGTAATTGTTTTAAAGTAAAAAAAAAATTAAAACGAAAAAATTATATTGGAATAATAAACTTACGTCATGTTGGCAGGTTTTAATGATATGGGACGACTGATAGCTATGGACAAAATGGGACTGGATATTCCCGATACCCTTTTTAGTTACCACATGTTAAGGGGCTTTGGGTTTCCCAGTCAGTTGTCTAGTGCAAGCGTTCCAATGACGTCGGTCGGACTTCCAAACACTCAGAGAACTTTGAATATGCTACGAGGGAGGAATGTTAATTTGGGACCAACAACACCTAGCCCCGTTTCTAGTCGCGCTGCTCAAGTTGATTTGTCTTCTTTTCTTTCGAATCTCTCTTCAAATAGGAACACAAATACAGATACCAGTTTTCAACACAGAATTAATCCGCTGATTATGGCACACATGTTGGAGAATTTCATTTGAACGAGACCGCCGTGTAATTTTTTTCGTGAATATATTTTTATCCTATTTATTAATAATCAATTATTATTCCCTAAGCACCTTTTAACCATTTTTGTAAAAAAAACTAAATTTTTCTCATTAATCAATAATCAGACCTAAATGCATGTATCTATACCTGTAACGGCACAAAAATATGGCAATAATTTAGAAACAGCATGAAATTCTAATTTTTTTAAACAAATAAAAACGATATACTCCATTATATGAATTCAATTCTTAAAGAGAAACGGACCTTTTAAGCATGCGCGTCTGATATGCAGTTTCCTGTTTATTAGGTACACGAGCGGTCTCAAGGCGCAGAGCCGAACAGACAATTTCCTCCAAGCGAGCATCTATAAATAGACCATTGTCTAATGTACCATTCTGGGCCCTCCAAAACGAAAATATGATGGAGTACTTTATGTTCCAACAAATGTTTCGTGGGTCTCCATTTGGCAACCAGCAGCAACAGCCGAATTTTAACTTTGCAAATTTTTATTTGATGGACATGTTTATGTGAACTTTGCATTATGGCCATTGATTTGACATTTTTCCTCTATACCTAACAAACATTTTCTTTTTGTTTTATTATACTTTGACTATACTTAATTAAAGGTGAAGTTCTGATTGAGTTTGATTTTTGGTGTGGGCTTTTATCCCATATGTCGATTGTTTTAAAATATGGATTAAGGTTTAAAACTTTATGGAATAACCTTGGGATATGCTAGTAACGATTTCTCCTTACATTATTTCTTTCGAAATCGACAAACTTGTTCATTGCTTTTAATTTTCCCCAAAAATTTCAAGAAAAAGAAAAGACCTTTCAAAAAAGTTTATCTGTTTTTAAAAACGATCCTTACAGGTGCTCAGAATGAAAATGCCGCGCAAGCGCAGAAGCCTTCTTCCCAGGATCCCATGGGTCAACTTTTTCCGTTGATGGCGCTTGGAGGCATGAATGACAAATTTCTCTCCAGTTATTTCATGCTTAATATGCTTGGCGGACAGAACAATGTGATGCGCGGTGGTCTTAACGGAATAAACCCACTCTTTTTGGGTCCGATGTTTGGCATGGAAATGGGATTGTTCTGAATGCGCTTAAGACTGTTTATATCTGTTCTTTTGAATTCATTCTCTGTCATTGTTCTCATCATCAATGTCATCAGCATCATCATTCGTGCCATCATCATACAAACATTTTATTTATTATTTTGTGTGTTCTGTGACGTTTTAGCTTGTGTTATTCCGCTTATATTTTAAGAAATAAATGTTGTTAACATATATCATAAATCGCTTTTCTTTTCATTTTACATTTGTTTGGTTTTTCAGTGCTTTGCATGCCTTGTACTTTTATAATAGTTCAATATTTCGATGCATATTACTGCATGATGGTTAGCGATCTTCTTTCTTTTGAATTTTTTAAAGCATAGTTTCATCATTCATTCTCAGCTTTATTTTTCATCATAAAACCGATAAATTTTATCATCGTTAAATGTTTAATTATTTTTTTTTTAAGTTTTCACAAGTACTATAACATGATTCTCATAAACCCCCTGCACGCCATTGCTTAGCTTTTGCACTCAGCACTTTTGTTATTCGCCTGTAATTTACAGCTGCATCTGGAACCAAACCTGCTGACGCATCATCAGCCACAGCTGCCGCCCAGAGTGCCAGAAACAGGATGCTCCTACAAAGACTGAGCCGTGCCAGATCCGGATCCGGTGCAGGCGGACTCTTTGGTGGCATGAACGGCATTCTGCCATTCATGATGCTCAGCGGTGCCGGTGGCGACTCCATGAGAAACCTTATGATGTTGAAAATGTTCACTGGTGCTGGTGCAGGTGGCGCTGGTGGTGCTGCCCAAGGAGGCATGATGGGAAATATGCTCCCTCTTATGATTCTGTCAGAGGGCGGTCTTTCCTTCTAAGGAAATAATTTCCATTTTATAAAAATGCATAACTCAACTTTTACAGGACTTCTTCCGGTAAAGGAAAGAAATGTGTTTTGAGCTTGGACTCAAGATAGATGTACATAATTCTGTGTAAAACATTTGTGTGTGCTTGGTTTAGTCCAAATCATGTTCATCCAGCTTCTTGGGAAATGCAAAAACGTTCCATTTCATCCTCATAATTACAATCATCAACCCAAACTGTTAACCGTTCAATCTATTTATTGATCAACATATGGCGCAGGGTGTTTAACTGGAGTGAAATTGTGCTTTATCATAATACCATTAAATGCTGCGTTTCTGAATAAAATCGTTATTATAATATACTCCTGTCTTCCGTTATTCATTTCTTCACTTGTTCTAACAGGGCATCTTTCCTCAAAGAAAAATACTAAATGTCACAAAGATGCAAATGATTGTTTTCTTAACTTCTTTGGGTTTACCTTAATATTGAACGAAAACTAATACCATTGAATACCACAAAGAGTTGTGACTGCCATTTAATTTAAACATGAATGGCAATTTGAAATGAAAGTCTATTTTAAAAAGATATTTTAAATGAAGAACTGGTGTGTTTGTAGAAATTGGAAAGACACAATTAACAAGTTCCGTAGATTTTAGTTGTAGAAAACTTAGATACAAAAAAAATTAACAAGTACTGGAAAAGATGAATAGATACCTACTTACTAACTTGTCGAAGATTAATTCAATGCTGCACAGACAAGATGTTTGTTTCACCACAGAGCACACCGGATGTTGCGCAGTGAACTAAAAATCATCTTATTACTTCTAAACAAGCTGACATGATACACTGTTTATGTTGTTCATTTTAAAAAAAAAATCAATTTGAAAAAAAATCTCTTTCATGAATGCTTCAAGATTTAAGCCTTAAATATTTTCAACATTTCAGTTTTGAATCAAATTTTAATTGTTTCATTTTGATTGCTGCTGATTTTAAGTACTCATAATAAATTGTGGCTAAAATATGAGGAAAAAAATCTGAAGGATTTCTTTACAAATATTTTCTGCATTCGTGTATCTATATTACATTCAAATTCTTTCAAATGACAAGTACACTTATGTAAAACAACGTTTATTATGAAATTTGAAATTATCACAAATTAAAGAGCAAGAAGAAATGAAATCTAACATATTCTTTTCTTCTATTCTTACTTCTTCTAACATATTCTGTTTGAAACATTTTTCATTTAATCTAACATCAATTCCATTGGTTGTTCTAGAATTAATTTTTAAATGATTTTAAAAGAATAAAAATGCAATCACAATGTTTATAATATTCTATTCTTAAGATAAATAAAATCAAAATTATATTTTTAAAAAATTCTTATTTTTCAAATACGTTATAATTTTATCTATGCTATTGAAATATACGGGGTAAAACGTTTGTAAACACGATAAAAGTAATATATGAGAAAATAACTTTGAAATTTGTACATCATATTTATCTTTAAAAGAAACACCTGGCATATATCCTAATATTATTATAAGACAAAGAAAGAAAGAAAAGAATTTATGATGATAAATAAAGCATACACAGTTTTGGACACGTCTTTGAATTGTGAAAGGCAAATTACAACATAAGATACATGCCAAAATAAAGATCAGAATTGGTCATGGATATTCTACAATAAAACACGGCTTTTGTGATTATTTACTTCTCAGGAGCAGGTACCGCAGCACAGAATGCTAGAAAGAGACTCATGCTTTCACAACTCAGTCGACGAAGCGGATCATCCGGCGGACTCTTCGGTGGCGGACTCTCCGGCGTTCTCCCCATGATGATGCTTTCCGGCGGTGGCGGTGACGGTCTTGGAAAAATGTTAATGTTGAGTGCTCTAACTAAAGGATCCGGAATGGGCGGACAAGGCGGCATGCAGCAACTCCTTCCCTTAATGTTCCTAACAGAATCTGGAATTATGTAATCTATTTCCTGTTTTAAATTTCCTGTTTTGGTCGAGCGTCCGGTACCGGCTGTAATTGGTAGATGAGCGTGCGTAACATCTTGGATCCTTGATGCGTGTACATAGTTGTATAAATTATGTGTGTGCTTGGACTATACATATAAACCAAAAACACTTCTGAGAATTGTAGAAAAAATGATTATATCGTATACTCTTAATTAACTGATATGTAGCTTTTTTTTAAAATCATGAAAATAGGTGGTTGCTCAAAGAGTCGAGCATTGATGATAAACACTACGATATTATTTGTCTTCCATATTTTTTTTTAAACAAACATGTTTATATGAGAAGGTAATTTATAGCTTAATTTGTTCAAACAAAGGATTATTTTACGTAACATCTAAAACTAGATCATATATTTTGATTGAATCCAATTGACCGTTACTATATAAAATTGTTATTTCTTCCCCAATTGTTGTGTTGTTATGTTTTTTTAATCGTGGCTAAGTCCGGGCTTAATCGTCTAGACCTAAATGATATGGTACTTGATGTTTTTTAAAGGGAAAAAAGATAGAAAAGAAAACTAAAATACGAAACAAACACAATCTTTTAGATTTTATTAATTGAATATAATTTAATTTTGTTTGTATTCTAGCCTCTGATTGGTTAATATCCAAAAAGGAACACACATCTTTTTAGAAAAAATTGAAAATTTTAAGTCGGATAATTTGGAAAAATTGGCGAAGACTATTTTGCTGTTCAAAAAAAGTTTTTGACAATTCACTGACTTTGGGCCAGTTTTTTTTTTTTTTTTTTTTTTTTTTTTTTTTTTTTTTTTTTTTTTTTTTTTTTTTTTTGTGACAATTGTGTTATACTCGCATAATTTGGCCAAGAATTAGAGTCATTCCTAAAATAATTTTAAACACAAATATAATTTTTCTTCATTTTTGCTTGTTGCAATGCTATGGGGTAAAAGAAAAATATTATTGTGATATGCATATTTATTTACATTTATTTACATCACTAGTGATGTGCTGGGATCGAGATTCTGAGAGATCTGAGAGAAAAATATAACTAAAGACCCATGGCCACAACGCTCACCTGACTCGCCTTAGCCCTACTGTTCTGAGGATTTTGAAATAATTTTTCTCTATTTATTCTTATGAAAATTTATGATCCAACACTAGAGTTCATTCTTAGCCTTAAGAGATTTTAAATTAAATGAACTTGAATCCGCACAACGTGGAGATGATTCAATATTAATACGACTAAAATGATTTTGTAGTTCTAGAGAAAAAAAAATAACTTTTTTTTATTTTATTATACATATCTTTTGTAAAATTCGTAAAATACCTGACTTTTGCCCCTGCTCTACCCCCCCCCCCCCCCCTCCAGTGTCCATAACTTGGCAAAACAAAATAAATCCACTCATCTTCGGAATATTTCCTTATCAAATTGATTTAGTGTGGCCCTGCTATCATTTTTATATGTATGCATTTTCCTTTTTGTTTAAATGTTTGTTTGAATTTACATGAACCAATAAGATACCTAATGTGACCCCATAAAACCTTCGGAGATCATGATTTGAAAAATTTGATTTGAATATATAATACCTGAGGAGATTTGCATATTGATAAGATAAATCGTTGCCTTGTCTTTCTTGAGAGGATGGATTCATCACATCGTGAAGATACTTGCATCTATGACCCTGCTGTTTTAAAGAAAAAAGATTTTAAAACATTTTTCCAATATATTTCCATGTAAAACTTTGATCCCCTATTTTGGTCCCATCAACCCAAATTAAAAACATTTTCTTTTTGTGCACAACCTTACAATGCTTATACATTTTGATATCATGATCTAGCTGTTCTTGTGATTTTCGGAACAATTTTTCCAATTAAAACTTTGATCCCCTAATGTGGGGGTCTTGACAGATACATATTTCGCGCTTTTTGTAGTTTTTGATTCCGGTCTATGTAATAACTTGCACATACATGGCGCAGTACACAACTTTAAATATTTTTACTTTTAAATGCATATTTGATATTGTTGATCACATTCCTCAAAGAGAGTAATTCTTCTGCTTAAACAATGGTTTATCATGTCACCAAATCCAAAAGGATTGCAATGATTCTTAGTAGAAGTAAATGCTTGTATGTTTGCACCAAAACATCTTAATCGGATGGAAATTTCAATTATAAATTTCAAAAATACATCAGAATATTTGTTTTGAAGCAAAAAGAACCTCTTCATTCATTGATGGTCACTTGCTGTCACGAAATAGTGTCAATGTTTAGATAAACTATGAATCATTTAAATCCCCTTCATGCAACAGATTCCTCTTCTATGATGTTCTCATCTGTTGTGACCTAGATAATTGTGCATAAAATCATTATTGAATAAAATAGGCTTGTCCTATTGTTATCATCGGATCGAAGCAACAAGATATGAAAAATTAATTTTATACATAAAAACAGTTTTGTCCAGATGAAATTAACATACAAACATTACAAGCTAAAAAGCTTGTGCAGAAACAAAAAGGTACAAAATGAAGTGTCTAGTAAATTAAATAATTTAAGGTAAAACTTTCAATGTAAAAAGAGAAATACAGTAATTTTGATTATAAAAAAGGGAAAAAATTCTAATGCAACAAAATATGATTTATTTCAATATTTTTTTTCACAATATGCTTCACCACTGCTCTCATGGTTTTGCTTTTGCTTTTTCTGGGAAAAAAATATAAACATGACTTTACTTTAAAAACGAAATATTAAGAAGACAAGCTTGATTCTTGTGTATACACAGATAGGAGTGTTCATTATATTGTAATCGAAATAAAACAAAATAAAAATGGATACAATAATATATGTTAGATGCCTCCTCAAATAAAAGCTTCTTTTTCGTCTTAAGCATTTTCAAAATTGCATTCTCCTCTAAATCAGTGATATTTTTAAGCAATATAAAAATTATTATTTTGCTATTGATTTAAATTTTGATTCAAAAGTGTTTATTACCATTTTAAAATACTGATATATTTCTTCCTCAATTAAAAAAAAATTACGAAGAGTCAGATAAT